TCAACCAGATATATCTCAAACTGGTTTCAACCATTTTCAAACCAGTGTATGTGCACTGAACATATTTTTGGTTACAGGTTTAGACCAGTTTTTGATCACTTAAACTGGTTTATATGTAACGTTTGTCCCTAGCCTTAAAGGCTGCTATATGTATAGAAGAATAGATTCAAGGGGAAAATCCTTACTCCCAATCAACAGAATGGTCAAACTGGCACTGACTTTCATAGGGCCTGGATTTCAGCCTGAGTTTCTGAATGAAAATGAGGCGGTGTGCAGTATGGTGAAAGGTAGGTCGTGGCCTAGGAGACATTTTCAGAGAAATACCATTTTCTGTTCTCAGTCTCCATGTCTATCATGGCAGTTAAAATTACCTTCCCTCATCTAAGGTCAGATACAAGACCCCTGCAGTCCTTCCTCTGACACGCTAGACCAGGCACCTATTACTTTGAGTGTGTTACACCACAGACACAGGCAAATGTTATTGTTTGGGGGAATGGGGATATAGTTAAAAAAGCAACATAGCATCTGCTGAAAGTTACCATTATACTGATGAACAGAACAAGAAAGGTCTGATGTGAAAGGGCTACCACAGACTTAGAAGCCTCGGCTGCCCAGCAGCCTATCAAAAACCCATCAGGTTCTACTTGGACGCTATGTACAATTCAACATGTGCATCAAACCCAAGCCATGTTCATGAAATTGGCATTTTCTGATGACACTGTTTAGTTAGAAAAGTTCCAATCAGCAAGCCGAATCAGTATTTTACTTTACTTTATTTTATCTTACTTTACTTTATTTTGAAGAGCAATCCTGTGCTCCTTTTTTGGGCTGTTTTCTTATTCTTTCACAGAGGCTTCCAGTCTGCTGTGCACAAGGACTTCTGACTCCTCTCTCTAAGGAGACACCTCCTGGATTGCTCCATCCAGTTGCCCCTTTTCAGGGGATGATATCTGGAGTCTCTTGACTGGTTCCTTCATTTTTCTTTCCCACAGTCACTCCAGTATGATTTCTTTGTGCTCTTTGCGTGGTGTGATGAAAACATTGGGGAGCCCATGATTCTTTGGCTTTCTTTTGCAGCCTCTGACCTCAGTCCCTATTGTGCCTTGGTGACCTTTGGTCTTCCAGGTGCCGTGTTATTGTCAGAGCTTCAAGGTCCGAGGGGAACTCAGAGGGGTTACAGAATCAAGACATAAAAACAACTGTCGTTCGGTATCATCATCAGATCAGGTGTAGGCTGTTTCTTTCCTTTTAGAAACATTTGAGAGCATGTTATTGTGAGTGGTTTGTCTGCAATTAACCAAAAATACATCTAAATATTTTAGTTTGGCAGAATGATATGCGTATTTTTAAATTATGCACTTATGTAATTCTTACTGAGTAATAAGTGAGGGTAAGCACAAACCCCAAGGTGCTTTAGGCATTGGTGATTAAAAGGAGGAAATTATGTTCCAAAAACAAATTGATCAACTTCCCTTGGTTGTAGCAATATCTCTGACATGGCCTGCAACAGGAACAAAATGTCATTTGCCTGATTGTATGAACCTTTCTGAAACACTTCATCAATCATAAGATGTCTTTCCTTTTGCCAAATTTTGGAAAGCAAGGTACTTTTTCCCCCTGCTCACTCTGCTTGATCACTTTTAATGGCTTCCTTATTCAGAAGTTAATAACAGCACATTTTGTTTCTATTGGTGGATAGCTTTTAGGCAGAAACTACTTTTGACTAGGCATATAGACAAATCTTTCAGTTTAGATTCACTCATAGGAAAAAGGCACAAGACAAACAAGATGTACCAAGCTTCTTCAAGTCACAACAGTGAAGCTGACACGTTTCAAAAGACTTAAAAGGACACTGGGTGCATGATAACTTTAAGAATGAAACAGGAAGATTACACTGAAAATACTAAGTTGTATACCATAGCTGGCCAGACAATTCTTTATACTGAAAAAACATCATTCTGAACAGGTTGAAAACATGTCTTTAATTGGAGAAGTTGATTGCAAGTTTATTTGATTAGTTTGTTTGCAGGTAGAACACCAGCCTAATATTTAAAAGGAAAATATGAAAACCAGGGCTCTTAAAATCATAGTCAATTAATATGTTGAATAATATTCAAATATTCAGAGAATATTTTGCATATTTTGAGAAAGTAGCATACAATTATATTACAGGAGATGAACAATGGACTGCTCCAACAAAGAGCAATGAGTTTCACTCCTGCATTGTGTGGATGATGACAAATGTTCAAGAAGATTTCACTGTATTGGTAGTGCCAGTTGGCACAGGTAATCATAACAGCAAGTAAAGATATGGTACCAGGTCTGAATATGAGGCTTAAAAATAAATACAGATAATGCTGTGATGGTTCCTCATAAGATATTCTACAGGGTAGGCTTAGTATCAGGTCTAGGACAGGACTGCAATAGGAGGAACTCTGAGCTACACATACTTGTGGCTATGCATACGGTTGTATATTTGGTATGCCAAGATCCTGTTAAATCCTTCTTTTATCCCTGTGCTTTAAAGAACACTTAATTCATGTCAGAGAGACAAATGATTAGTGGTCACGAAGAAAACCAGTATACTTGCACAATGAGTTATAATATTCTGATCAGTTATGTGTTGGAGTAAAGTTTCTGATGGTCCAGGAACCCCCTGCCAATATATTTCATGGTATGAATGACCAATTACTCAGCTTCATTTTTTGCAAGCCAAATCTCAGCTTACAGTAAAGTCCCTTACATCACTTTGGAACCACCTACCTGTGATAAACCTCACCACTTTTCAGGGACGTGTTAGAGATTTGTGCCTGGGGCTTGCTGAACTAAGTACTTAGATGAGTTCCCTTCCCCCTTGGAATAATCCAATTTGCAACAAATATTTAAGATATATTTCCTGGAGGAAGATGGCCAGATTGCACCTCAGTATCTTGCAAAGTCCACTGTCCTATTGCAGACTGAGCTTCCTGTTCTACTATTGATGTGCTTTCCTGTAGGTCAGCTTGGCATGGACTGGGAAGGTCTTTGCTTTTCTTTGTAGCATGGCCTTTTTCCTAAGATCTCCTCAGCGTATATTAACCAACAAATTCCCTTTCACTGTAGTGCCAGGGCATTGGCAGTGCCCTCATCTCCCCTGCTTTAGCCTCTGGTATGTGATAGGGTGTTCTTGATGCTTCTGATATTGTGCCTTTTAGCTGTGTGAGAGGGCTTGGAGGGGCAATTTTTGGGGATTCCTTAAGTAAAAGATGGCCTTCAAGTGGACTGGACCCAGAAAACCCTTTCCAGTGCTGTGTTCCTGTTCAGTAAGACAGGTCCTCAGATAGTGTATGGCACCATAGTTCTACTTATGATGTTGGACAAAATTTGATTTATATGAGTTGAAGAGATGGGTCCATGTATTTTAAAGGAACAATAGCAAGATGTTTTCCACTGAGTATGCATTGCTTTGCACAAGAACTTTTCTTTCTTCTGCATTGTGAGTATAAGAAAATATATTTTTTGTTAAATGGAAAAAAACTGACAGGTGCCTTGCTCTGTTTGTCTCTGTGGGATTTGTCACAAGGTAAGCCAAGATGTTGTCTTCACCTGCATGATGGCATATGGCCCCCATCTGTCAAAGTGGCACAAAGCTTTGGCATCCTGTGTGACTACTCACTTACTCTGATGCCAAGTAGCATCAGAAACTGTTTTCTCTCCCCTCCAGCTCATAAGGAAACTTTGTCCCTCCTACCTAGATGGGGACCTAGCCATCATTCTCCTTGTATTTCACACCTCCAGGCTGGATTACTGCAGTTCACTATATCATAAGCCAACTACAGGCAATATATGGGCAGCTGGTATGGAAATGGGCATGAAATGGGCATGGACCATGGAAATAAGCATCAGCTGCCCATGTCCTCCATGGTTTAAGCTGCTTTGAGCATATCAAACCACTTTAATTAGTTCAATGACCTTTAGATCATCCCTGCTGCCATTTTTAAGTGCAGGGACACTGATACACGAGATGCAGGAGGCTGCTGGAGCGCAGTAGTTACCACAGTCCAGCAGACTCGATCAACTGAGTCTGCTCCAATGCACTGTAATGACAGCATGTCAGAGTGGCGTCCGTGCTCATGTACAGGCACCCATAGGTTTTGACATCCTGTCCTAAGATAAAAAAGGAAGTGGAGTAGAACAAGCAGATTTAACTCATTTAGAAATTCAGAGGACTAAATGAAGGAGATCAGTGAAGGGTTGTGTTCTCTACCTGGAGAAGTTATCAGAGGCACAGAGGGGTGCTAGGTTAATGTCTTGCTCTGTGCCAGCTATTTTTTTAATGGTGTTGGGACCAGCTTATTTGTTGTTATACCAATGTATTCTTAGCTCTATTAACATTCCTTGGTTGGATTCTGTAAAAGTATTTAGTCCTTTACCCAACAATGAAACCATAATTAGAGAATCCAGTAACATTAGCAATTAAGACAGCTTGTTTTTTAAAGTGCTCAGTAACACTTTTGGCAACCAGCTGACAACCTCTGGAAATTACTAAACTGCATTATCCAAAAGAACACTTTAAACCCAAGCAATAGTCTGTTTTGTTTCCTCCAGTCCTTTGCCTCAATGACAATACAGATACAATCAAACCTTGATTAGACCTAAGGATGATACTGTTATTTGTCTTAGCCATTCATTCACTGCTAGTAGTTATAAAAGTCATTTTGCTTGCTTTGTTTGCTAAAGTATCCCATAAACTGATTTTTTTTTGCTATATTACAGCTCTTATTTTGAAGGCTATTTTACCAGCTGAAAAAGGCAAGAGAAAAAAGGAAATGTAGACTCATGTAGAAAGCATAAAAATCAAATCCTATATAGCAGAACACCACAACAGAATTTCTGGAATATATCATAAACAGTCATAACCTAACAAGAAACTATGTAAGTTGTACACATCATACCTATCAAAAAACAATAGGGCCAAATGTGCAGGTGGAGCAAATCATTAAAGTCCTATGGAAATTTGGCCCAGAACTTTTATTTTTTGTGTACCATCCACACACACATGTACCCACACACACTTGCATCTAATCATAAATGAGAACATGCTTTTGGTACCAAAAATTATCCTGGACTCATCTGATCATTATTTCATAGATTTCATAGACATTAGGACTGGAAGG